GTGAGGGATTTGTCGATCACGATGGCTTTTTTCTGGCTGACTTTCTTTTTTATTTCCCAGGAGTTGGCGTGTATTACATTTGTCATCACACGTATCCATTTTGCTGTTTTCCTCCGCAGTCCTCTTCAGCTCGCCCTGCTATCCTCCATAAGCTGCCATATCATCACATGATCTCCTACATGTCACCCTTTGAACGCCTATCTGACCCTTTTCCACTTGGCTTCCACTCGAGGGCCTGGCATGCTATGTCACTCGATGGTCTTCTCGGTGTGTGTGATCCATCCCCACTTTGTCTTGCATATTTGTTGAGGATTAAGTCATTGTTTGGTTCGTTCTCAGAGTTTCTTGTTGGTGATCCTTCCTGATCGTCTGGTTTTCAGTATAGAGCGAAGGAGATTGACAGATGTCTGAAACTTGTTAGAAATGCCTTTCGTGACGTGCCAAATGTTTGACTCCTGTAGAGGAACTGACTTAACATTGGTGTTGAAAATCTGAATCTTGTTCTTGATTCTGAATGCTGAAGATTTCCAATGTGACTAGAGTGATGTGAGTGTAAGTTGCCCAAGCAGTTCTGGTTTTGATATCCTCATCCGTTCTGCCTGTAGTTAAAACGATACTGCCTGGCGAGGTAAAAGATGTCACCTGTTTCAAATTTCTGGTGTCATTGGTTGTGTTCTTGTTGTTGTTGTTTTTGGTTGGTTATTTTCATTACCTCCGCCTTCTGTTTGTTCACTTGAAGTCATGCCTTTGCTGTTTCTTGTGCCAGTTTGTGGGTTTTCGCCTTTAAGTCTTCGATTATTTGTGACAGTAGACATAAATCACGCGAGAAGTTCAGATCTAGTATCTTCTTATCGGTTCAGAGTATTCCTGTCTTCTCGCTTCCTACGGTCTAATGCATGATCCAGTCCATCACAATTAGGAATATCACTGGTGATAGAAGTCAGCCTTGATTTACTCCTGTCTTCACTTCAAACGCTTCACTGAGTTTTCCCTTGTGGATCACTTGACATGTGACACTCAGATAGTTGTTGAAGGAGGTTAATAAAGAATTTGGGCACTCCATAGCGTTGAAGTAGTTCCCAAATTACTTTGCGGTCTACGGTGTCGAGGGAATTTTCAAAGTCGACGAAGTTGAGATAGAGATTTGACTGTCACCCTATGCCTCTGTTCGTTGATGATGCGTAAATTTGCAATGTGATCCAGACGTGATTCGCTCTTCCTGAATGCAGGTTTTCCTGGTAGGAGTTTTGTATTCAGTGCATCTTTTAGTCTTTCTAGGATGACGCGACTTATTTTTTTGTTTGGTGTGGATAAGAACATGATTCTGCGCCAATTCTTACAGAGGTCTAAGTCGTCCTTCTTTGGCAGTTTGAGACTGGATTCAACACAGAACTTTGCTCAGATGTGCAGCAGTTCGAGTCGCCACACTCTATGTAACACAGAGAAAGGAGAGAGTAAAGGGTGGTTCAAAAGACAGATAATAAACAGAAGTGTCCCAATCAGTAAGTACCTTTGTTTCTTTCCAAACATTTTGCAATAGTGGCGTGAGGACATCCGCTATGATCTCGGGATCCATTTTCAGTGTTCCAGGAGGAATGCCATCCAGCCTTGCTGTCTTCGCGGCCTTCAGTAGCTTGATTGTATTCACGTCTTCTGCAGTTGTTGGTAGATTGGTGTCCACTGACAGTTCTGTAGCTTTTGATGGTATTTCTGGCCGAGTTGTAGATAATGGTCGGTTCGAGCTTTCTTATAGGCTTCTTATCCTAGTACGGCGTGCTAGCTTAGACTTCATTATGCTTTGTGTTCTGCTAATCTAATCTATCCTGGCCTAATATTCTGACTTGAGTATTTGACGTCATGATCATTGTAACGTATTAGATAAACTAAATTGTTTTGTTTAGTGGTTTCCACAGGTAATTTTTTTCTAAGTGGTGTTCTAGATTTGAATGTCGCTTGTTAAGATTCCTATGTGAGGTCCTAGAAGTTTGGTCTTTGTATGGTAACTCTAGTGATGTTTTAAGTTCCATCTTTTTGGTGTTGTCATCTTTGTGTGTATATTAATTACTCATATCATACCCATTTATCTGCTTCATTTTTATTGTCTCATACATTTCTTGATTATTATGTATGGATAATTTTTAAGCGTCAAGGTTTCTCTTGTCTTTCGTACTTCCTGCTATAGATTTTCCTTTTCACTATTTATATGTTTATTCCTTGAACATTTCACCAATCCTACAAACGATGGTGTACAGAGTTGTGTAGTTACAATTGGTATGATTATAAAACAATAAATTTTGTTCAAAATGCCACCCAGTAAATAATACCGTATTACTGTGATATATCCAATAAACGAATAATTTTAGAATTCTTAAGGCTATTACTAGTCTACTTATTTTCGGCTTGGGTAACAAGGGAGGTCAGTCGATGCGATTGTGAATATGCATCGATTAGAATGCCTTAGACATGTGCTACACAGATCAAGTCGTTGCTTTCCCCAAAAAGCGGAGTTGGGTGATGTAAGCTTAGGTGGGAAAAGAGTTAGTGGTGGTCAGATACAGCGTCAATGCATGAAATCTTACACTGTTGGTTTGGGCCGTACAGGAAAATTGATAATGTATAATAGGCGTCTTCAAGATGGCGGAAACCGGTAACTAGAAGGTATTGATGATATTACCGAAAATCGCGTTTATTGACATGATTGAATTATCGTTTTTACACTTCTCTTATCGACTAAAGTTTCGTCGCTCTCCTGTACATTTCTGTTCACTGTAATATGTATACATTGTTTTCCTGCACCCCTCTGTATGCCTTATGAAATATGTCAACTTAAATTGCTGCGATTTTGTGCAAGTTTTTGTTTTTTGGATTCAGTTCAGTTCGTCTCCGAGAAATGACTCTCCAGATCCCCTATAACTTTTTAGTAGTATGCTATTAGTTCTTTTGCATTTTATCAATTTTTATTTGCTTTCGTAATGACATTTCTTTGTGTCGTGTGCTTATGTTCTAGTCTTAATGTCAAGAATATTCAATCCAACCTTTTACTCGTCCGTATTGATCTGCTCACGATGATGTCTCCAAATATCTACCTCGAAAAGGATTTATATCTTCAGAAGCCTAAAGTACTTTTGAGCGAAAGTGCTGTCAGGATGCACTATCTTCCTGACTATTACAAACTTTTGATCACAATTCATTTTTTCCCATGTGGTGCTTTCTTAGCACCCCATCCAATTTAAGCATAGGGAATATAGCGAATAACTGACTTGTTCATATCACTCCTAATGGGTTTACGGTCGATGTGCTTTCTTAACCAAAAAGATTTTGGTTTTCAGCAGAGAGGTTATCGACTGTCCGTTTAGAGTTAATTGTAGTATGGGGCAGTGCACTCTGTGTCACTATATGACTGAAATGTGATAATTAAGGATGGAATGTCTACCAGGGTTTCGAGTATTTAACCGCGACTTCTTTATATTACTACGCCTGCGTTATGTAGCTGTTAGTTTTACTGTGTAGTGATTGAGAACAAGGGTCTATGTATGGTATTGAAGTCATTTCATGATACAAATTAGCGTAAACCAAAATACTTGGGATATGGTTTATAAATTTTTGCCCACCAGTCACCTCAAATTCTAATATTTACTATAGCGACAGATTGGATAGCAGTGAAGCATAGACATATCGAGGTATCTTACTAGTTTATCAAATCGATGTCGACTGCTTGTCCAGGAATGCATTAGGTTGGAAACTATAGGTGGTATATCTCAGCAGCTGTTATAGTTCCACAGATGTATTCATTATTTGTCTTCATCTGAGTCTTCACTGCATCTTTCACTTTATTGTTTATTGTTTTGTATGATAGTATCATTTCATCTTATAATCTACTTAGCATTAGGATATGAGGTGTAATGATATGGAATTTAATTACAGAACTTATTCTAATTTGTCTTTTTCTATAGTTTCTCTGTATATATTTTTTCCACATGCGTTGTATCCCACCTACATCAAGTCATTTTCCTCTTAGGTAGGGTTATTTAACAGATTTTAGTTGTAAAGTTTATCCTCGTTTTACTTGGCTAATATTAATTTACTGACATTGTAGTAACCGCTGCTGTTACTACCTAATAGTAAGTTACAGCACAGTCTACAGACCTATGCAAGGTGTACTCTCCTTGAATAATAACACAATTTACTTATTAACTCCAGTATCCTGGTGCTTATGTGTTATAAAACTGGACCTCATATTTTAGTTCTACTTCTTACTGTGAATTAAAATAGTCTACTGAATGTCTCTGATATCGATATGTTTTAGCCTAGACAATAATTTACTTTGATTCATTCCAGGTATGAATCAGATATGTCGTATTTTTGTTAGGTTTTTAGGTCAAACCAAAACTTGGCATCAGTTCATGAAATCTTTGAAAGTTTGTTTGAGCCACTTAGGCAGGTGTAAACTGCCTGGTTGGCGGCCTCAAATTCTAAGAACCAGTTGCTTAAGACAATTGATGATATGGTTTCAAATCGTTCTCAGTGGCGCAGACGCATTCATTCTTTGTAATCTCCTATATCTGTTAGACCCGGTTGTTTTTCCATGTTATCACTCTTCCTCTAGTACGTTTCTGCTTATTCTTTTGAATCTCTTTTTTCTTTTTTGTCTTCCTTTGTCTGATACATAGAGTGTGGAAAGTTGAACTGCTGCACTTCTGTGCAAAGTTCTGTGTTCAAACCGGTCAGTTAGTTTGATTTTCAATGTGTCTATCAAATTCTCCACAGAAAGGTTTAGTTATTCATACTCATGTAACTTCGTAAACCTTTGGCTTAATGGAAATAGTACTTATCGATACAACTGAACTTCTTTTCTCTGTATCTACAACAGTGGTACTGAAGAGAATTTTAAGGGTAACTTGTCGATGTTATTTTCATTAAGCTATGCGCTTCTATAAAATTGTGATTGCAGTCTGTTTGGCCTGTTTTGTTTGGAATCAAGCTAATTTAACATCCCTGTGTCACCACTTGCTCCCGTGGTTTACATTAGGAGTCGTACACGAGTCTAATACGAATGGAAAATATTCCACTTTTGTGTAACGCTTACCGGTATTCGACACTGCATAAGCACCCATTTTTGGTATAGACTTACATCAAAGTTAGTTTTCATTACGGCTAGATAGGCGAAAAGTTCAAAATCTTTAAAAAGCATTCACTTATTCAAATAACAGATCAGTTTTTAAAATATAACATAGTCTCAGGATATAGTACAATCTAGTTTAATGACAGCAGGTTCTAGGTTGGCTTTGTCTCGTTTGGTATTCCGATGTCCTCCAAGACTTAGTCGTCCTAGTTTTTTGATAAATGTCGTTCCAAACGAACTTTCATTATTTAAATTTGTACTCGTATTAATTGCTAATCTGTTGTTTGTTGGTGTACACGAATGTCTAGGACCTTCTCTGCTATCAATATGAAAAACTGTTGCTCCTTTAGTTGATGAGTTCCTAAAGAGCACTGCAAACGCACTTGCTCTTCTTCTCCCATCGGTTAGGTCAGCATGAGCAGGCAACGGATCAAAAATAATTCCATTTTCTCCAGCTTCTTGGTTTTTTTTCCACATCACTTTTAGAATATCTATGACACCGTAGTTATCACGGGCTGATGCTGAAATAATCGAACTAAATGGTATTTGTGATTCATCTGCTACTGATTCTACTTCTTCATCTGTTATCAACCATTCACTTTCTCTAATGTCGTTTTTGTTGACGACTATAACTATAATTAATTTTCTGTAATCTTCTGGTCTCTCTTCTTGGATTTCCTTCAGAATTGTTTTAATTCTATCCAAACTTGACGAGTCATCTCTAGCACAAACAAGTACAAAAGCAGAACCTCTTCGATGCCATAGTCTGTTCATTGCTGGAAACATGTAACTGCCTGCAGTATCGATAAGTCTCAGTCGACATAAATTTCCTTTAACTACAAACTCTCGAATAAATGAATCTTCGATAGTCGGTTCATATTTATCGTCCCAGGTATTGGAACTTGGTCCTTTGATTATTCTCTGAATTAGGGCAGTTTTTCCCACTCTACCTTCTCCCATGAATACAACTTCTGCATGCGGTTGTTCTCTATCATCCATTGTAGTTACCTCCTAATAAATAAAGAATTTAAGAAAAAAAAGTTCCTTGGGTATAATTAGCAATCATTGGTAGATTAAATAGTTTGTCTTTTAATCAACACGCCTACTAAATACTCTCTTAAACTATGAAGAACTTCTCCAGAAAAAAAAACTTGGTATTGTTGGTAATTAAAGTTCACGATTTTTGTAGTCATTTGGAGCTGACATGGCATCAGCTGAAAACTCTAATTAAATGGAGGTCCTTGTACTAATCTTTGAACTACATTTCATTTCGTTTTAGAAGTTCAACACCCCTTGTAGTAGTCTCATCAGAATGGCAGTGATAAAATCTGAGTACTAAGATTACTGAAGAAATATGACAAGAGGAATCCTTACGGAGGTCGGGGCTTTTATAAACGTCAAAATCTGACAAACTTCAACACAACGACGTCAAAATATTTTTTGCTCACCTTTAAACTGAGTAATGTTAACCATACCCGCAATAGCTTTTTTAGCTCTAATTTATACGGGGAAAATTCTTAATCTCCCATTTCGTGACTGGCCTCACTGCTGTATTATCAATCGTACGTAGAGACAACCATTTTAAGTAGTTTGAAAACCATGTATTATGATGCATTTTTACTTGGGATATGTTCAAAAGTGGTGTTTTTCTCAGTCTCGGTAGCAGACTACTTTTAATAATTACCTTTATTGTAAAATAAATATACAAAGTCCAAGCTTATCGCGATGTTCTTATGAAATTAAGATATTTTATTAAGAAAATGAGTCATTTTAATCATGCTTTCATTTACGTGGTCGCTTATTTTCTACTGATACGGCATATATCCAGCTCTTATGTATTATATGCTTCTCCTCTTTTGGTGATGCATTGTTATGACTGTTATATTGATTGCACCATTGTAGTGCAACTAAATGGTTATTTGATTGATAAAAATAAACTCGACTGATGCTGGCTGATCTATTAGTCGCATCAGTTAGTGCTTTAGCCAAGCTGTATTATTCACACAAGCTCTCACTGAAGTAACATCAGAATACAAAACAACTGTTCCTCAACACAAACTTATTTGTTCTCAGTTAAACTATCATTTATTTGGAAAAATATGACTTAGACAATTTAAATATAGAATATAACAGATAACAAAATGTCAACAAGGTGTAATTTGAAAATTCGATTAATTTTCACCAGTAGATGTTGAACTGCGTTTCAGTTCCCTATGACATGCGTATTACAGGCAGCTGCTAGTTTTGTCTTGAAACTGCATGTGTTATAAACTGCTGGGTCAAATGTACAAGTGTGATGGTTAGATTAAAGAATCTGTTTTATGGGTCTTTTTGGAAAATAAAGCAAAGGTGTTTGCCGTATGGAAAGAATAATGTTCGATTGATATTAACTATCCAAAGCCATTTATGACTGGAATATTCATTTTTCTTCAGTATCTTTTAGGCTTTAAATAAATCACTCTCTCTTCTAGCATGTCTCTTTTGTTGATCCTAATATCGTCTGTTGATTTATGAGTCTGCCTTTTTAATATATATTAGTCACATATAAATGATTAATGGTAGCTCGGGTTATCCACTTCCTATTGGAGAATGCGAATTTCAATCTAAAGATGGACACAACGACTAGTTTTGATATTAGTTTGTATAGTAAGCCATCAGTTGGGAGATAGTCACTTCTCACTGTGTACTTGTTTTGTCACTGACTGTATTGGTTCTCGTGTGTATCCTTTTAATTAATAGAATTCAGGTTTAGTTAGTTTGCTGGTCAGCTGTCAGAGTACATATCTAAGCGTTCAACTACCTTGTAAGCATGCTATCATTCAGAGACATTGGCCTTCAAAGTCGCTACTAAAGCAGGGGACATTGTTCAACGTATAAAGCAGAATGAAATGATATTCAAGAAGCACTGGTAAAATCATCTGAGGTCTAAACATCGTACATATATATATCCCTCAATCTGATATCTGTTGCTAATCAATTTAGTTTATAAAGCTTGGTTGTTAATCTTTTATTAGATTTCTTATTCTTAGGATAGGGATACAATATCTTCACATAATCTGTTTTTAATCTTCTGGAGTTGTGCTACTTAAATCTTTGTGTATTAGTTTAAAATAGTGTCAGAAGAAAAATCTTGCCCAAACTTTTGTGAAAAAATAACGGGATTATCTTCATTACTCCAAGGCAATAGTGACCTGTATAATCTGGATTTTTATAAACTCATACTACTGTCTGTAATTAAGTAATATGTTTTGAAATTCCACTTTTCACGTGTTCGGAATAATATATCAAGACTACTGCTTTTAATAATATCGAAGGTGATAAGAATAATTATCGTCACTTTCATTCGGGTGTCTCTAAGACTGTTCAAATCTAAACGAAATGCCTGGTTTTAATAACACTGGTTAAATGACTTTCTTAGTGTGTCAAATTACTTCAGTGCTATGTATCAAATAGGTTTCAATAAATATCTTAGATATAGGTTTAATTTTGTTTCGTTGTTTGGAGGCAATCAGCAAGAAGATCTAAGTTTCGTGCTCATCGGCAGTCAGCAGCAAGGTGCATGTGTAACCTCGCAGGAATTTACATAACGTACGTCACCCCTATGCTACTCGGGCTCAGTTGTAATGTCTTCATTGAATTTAGCTGAATATCATGCTTGTACAATTGATATGATATCTTAGATCGACACAATATAGTACTAGGATTGTAGGAAAGAAAGGGAATACAATTTTTCCATACTCCTGATATTGTACGTTGTGCATGAATTCGAATTTTATGTTTGTGTTTGTTCTTTGCAGGATACTGCATAATTTTTACATCAGTTCAACTGAGTTTTCTTATTAATGTTACGTACTTTCCCTGTGTGTATGATAGTGAAAGGTGCAAGCCTCTTCACTTGTTTGCATAATGTCAATTTCTATCTTCTCTTATTTTTAACTCAGTGATCAAATATAGTCATACTATGAGTTTGTGCCTATTACAGTAAACATTACTTTGTATCGTTGAGAGAAAATAAGTTTCTTTTTAAGGAAATATACAATTTGGAAGTTTTCTGTGCTTTGATATTTGAATGTGGATGTTTCATCACAAGACTTGATGATATTTTTCATTCTCATCCTGAGCTATAAATCTTCTTTGTTATTTCATTGTAAGGTTGCTTTCATCTTTATGCGGAAATGAAACTTGTGTTGAACTGAAGGAGTTTTCACGGTTAGATACTCGTAGTAATATTTTATCTCACTTGTATTTGCTTTCTAAATATTGTTCAAGTATATTTTTATGTCTTGTGTAAACGGTGAGCGCAAATTTAAGCACACATAAAATAATACTGCTCAATGAACTAAATCATTTGGTTCTAAATATAATATAACCATTCATTAAAACTCGAGGTATACACTGTCTAAGTTTCTATTTCATCCGATGTAACAATGCCAAAATTAACACAAAGTAGTGTAGGCATTATTTCTTACAATTTATCTTTAGATATCTAGCTTTTGCTTTAATCTGAAATAAGACATTCTTATTCAAAAGTGTGGTGCTTCTTCTTTCCCACTGGTATTCAAGTATTATGTTTGACTGGCGGGATGTTATTTATGCACCAATATTCTTTATATTTCAGTAAGGTAGCTTTTGAGGAATTTGTTTAGTTCCTGTGATTTATTTGACTCGTTGTGATTATCTATAAGTAAGTAACTAGTGGATTCCAATGAGTGTTTACAAGTATACAAGTTTAATTTCCAGAATCTGGCATTATAAACTCCGTATTTTTTTCCGCAATTAAACTGGACCTTAAGTTGTGCATGTCACATTGAGATAGAATCCAACTGCTATTTTCATATGTTAGTAAACATCACTTCCAGGTTGTTTGCTGCTCTACATCGGAGTAATTGAATGTCCTGAAGTTGCTTCTAGAAGTTATGACTCAAGCCGTTAATTGTGTTGAAGGTGTAGACTGGTGCTCATTAGTATTATGTGCTGCGAACTCATTGGAATTGCTAAGTACCGTATTGTTTTAAAGATATGATGAATGAACGGCAACTTACATGATTTTGGATCTGAGGATTATGCGTTCATTCTTATGGTTAGTTGTTTGCATAATCAACAATTGTCAAACAAAACAAAACAGTGAATTGCTATTTTGCATGTTAGGATTTTCCAAATAGTAACAATGTCTGTTTCTGTCTGTTTTCGACATAGAGCTTTGCACTGTTGTGCAGCAGTTCAAGTCGCCACACTCCATGTAGCACACAAAGCAAGAGAAGAAAGTAGGAGAAATGCATATTGGAGACAGTAAACAGAGATGTGAGACAAAGGAATAGTAATAACGAAGAACAAAACAGTTTCATTGGAAATCATAAGTCACAAGGAGTGGATACATCTGCGCCATTGAGAACGATTTTGAGCCATATCACCGATTGTTTCCAGCCATTGGTTCTTACCGTCCCGAGGACCCCAACCAGGAAGTCTACACCTCCACACGTGACTGGCTTAAACTAACTGTTGTGGATTTCATTGACTGGTGCCATGTTTTGGTTTGACCGCCACTAGCTCTTTTCCAGCCTGACCCTATGTCAGCTAACATTGCCCGTTGTCGAGGAAGGCGATGACTAGGCATACGTAACACATGTCCTAACCATCTCAGTCGATGTAGCTTCACAACCTCGTCTATTGATTTCCCCTCCTTACCTAGCACTCAACCGATGCCTAACCTCAATACTGCTCACCCTATTATACCACTTCACACGGGAGATAGAACACAGACACTTATGATCAAAGACAGTTAGCCAGGCTTTTCATGTGTTCCACTCTCAATGGTCATGTCTCACAGCCATAAAGCAGGACAGAGCGGACTACTGAACAGTACACACGTCCTTTGATCAACAACGGGATATCGTGTCTACACCAGAGGTGGCGTAAACTAGCATATGCGAAATTAGCTCTCTGCATCCGTGCTGAGATTTCGTCAGCGATCAACCCATTGGCGCTGGTTGATGCAAATTCCCAAATAAGTGAAGCGGTCAACGTGCTCTACCACTTCACTCCCTATTTCTAAGCTAGGAGTCAGTGTAGTCCAGTCCAGTCCTGTATCATCATCTTACATTTGGCGGGAGCGAATCGCATGTCAAATATTCGTAGATTGCAGCTCAAGGTGTTCAGAGGACTCTGCATTTTGTCAGTCTTCACCTAGGAGGGAGGACTATATTATCTGCATATTCTAAGTCAACGAAATTATTATTCCCTGGTAACAAGTCAATCCCTGAGTCGCCGAAGACAGTTAGGGTTAAGTCTATGATGAAATTAAACAGAAATGGGGGCAGTGGGCATTCCTGACGGACACCACTGATTGTCACCACTTCAGATGACAACTCGCCGTAAGCTCTTACCTGACTACATGAGTTCTAGTAGAGTGCCTTGATCAGTGCAGTGTACTGTCTCGGTATTCCATTCACAGACAAGCATCGCCAGAGTACCTCTCGGTCGGCAGAATCGAATGCCGCCTTTAGGTCAAGAAATATAACGATTGTTGGATGTCAGTAAGTATGTCTACGTTCCAGAATTCGTCGAATGGTGAATATATGACCAATACACATTGTTCCTCGTCTAAAACCTGCCTGGTTCTCTCGTGTTTGTTCGTCCCGTGGACAGTTTAGTCTACACATTATTATTGAGTCCAGGACTTTAGATACCCTGTGATTATCACAGGAAGACTTGTCTCCCTTCTTGTATATCGGGATAACCTATGATTTACACCAACCCAAAGGAACCTCCTCTGATTCCCAGACGCTCTCTAGTACCTTAGTTAACGCAGACATTAAACTGTCTCCACCGTACTGAAATACTTCTAGAGTCATCCCATCAGGTCCTGCTGCTTTGCCTCGTTTCAGACTAGTAACAACCTTTATAACCTCAGTTAGGGACGGAGGACCTGTGTCTATATCCCACTTAGGGAGGTGTTGGATGTTCGGTAAGTCGAGTGTGGCTGTAGGCCAATTTAACTGCTCCTCATAGTGTTCTTTCCAGCGTTCTAGTCGTCTATCCTGGGAGCTAATTATGGTGCCATTTTTCTCAGAGATTGTTTCACTTACCGTTTGCCTTTTGCCACCTGTTCCCCTGATAAGCCTAAATAGTTTTCTGATGTTACCTATCACCGATGCTTTTCCCATCTCTCTTGCTTTTGTTACCCACCACAGTTCATGGTCGTTAAGAAGGCTTCTTGTTAATTTGTGTTTGAGCAGCTTTCGCTCCTCATCATATTCGGAGCTCGCTGGAATCAGCCTTCTTGCGTCAATCAGTTCGGATGAGGCGGTAGATATCCAATGGTTCTTATTAACTTTTGGTTTTAGGTTATTAAGAGCCTTTACAGTTGTGTCTACAGCTAACTGTATGTTGTGCCAGGCTCCCTCAGGGGAAGTCCTGCTGTCGACCACAGATGCACAAATAGTAACAATGATTCGGTTTTTCTTTATTTCACTACTAAGTTACATGAAAAAGCCTGTAGTTTTAGGAATTCATATTACCTTCACCTGCCTCTACTTTCCTCCTTTCCTCAATATCATTGTAGTGGAAAATTTATGGTGGTTTCACTGAAGCGGAACAATAAAAGTTTTACATTTCGCGTTCGTTGGTGCGAAAACTGTCTATATATGCTTATTCAGAAAGAAACATTATGTCTTTAGCATGTATATCTGGAGTGAGATTTCTCAAATACTTCAGAGTTATTCCTTGTATTTTAGTGTTTATGGTACTATTATCGTTTGACTGCGAATGAATGAAGACTATTAAAGCTTATTTCTTATCAAATGTTAGCAAGAGTCCTTCTTATCTTTTTATAGTTTAAGAGAAGTCTAAACGAAGACGCTGTAGTATTATCAGATATACTCGTTTGATTTCATTGAATTTGTTGCAGTTCGATTGATAGCAGACAATGAAGCAAGTGAAAGACAAACCTAATACTCATCATAAAGAAATCGGTAAATAAAAGTTATGTAATATTCAGAACAAAGATAAAGATAAGTACATGCACTATTACACCATGAAAGTTACTAATTCCTTTTCTGTCTGTCCCTGCGCTTAGCTCTTTCCATTAACTAAGATGTAAATGTTTACATGGACTTTTAAAGTCTCAGTTTGAATAAAAGGAAGCTGTATTGGTCTTAAGTCCATACAAGTATAGAAAGATTATACTTTGTAACTAATAATCGCTTAGTAGATGAAAAGTAAAGGTGTAAAATTCGTACAAGTGTTTCCCATATGATTATTGTCTTTGTTCTAACAGGTATTGTCACGTGACCGGGTCACTGAGTCTGCTTGTAACCCCTCATACCTTGTTATATAAATTACCGTTTTCAAGCGATTGTATATTTAGATAACATTCAGCTTCCTCAGTAAGGAAAAACTATTAGACGAATTCACTGCTTATGAGTCATAGGTATTACAAGAAGTACAATTATGCAATTAAAAGGTATCCAGGGTATTATTTTATTTGGTATAATTATCAGACTGCATTCGAATGACTTGGCGGCATGCAAGATAACGTCAGTTACTTGACGCCAGCTCTATTTTTTTCTGCTGACCAAAGATGCTGGCGAATCTTCGGGATTTCCAGTTACATAAGAGCTGGTCAACAGTATAAGGCATACTGCTGTAAGTCATATAAGTAAACTAAGATAAAATATGTCCGAATTCTGGTTCACCAACAATCCCATGTAGGTTTGTGAATAGTTTTGCAGAATGAGAATATTAGCATTTTGTGTATAGTCAGTCACATGCACAATTGGGTTTATTAGTTGAAAAAACCGTTGCCCCTGAAGTCTTTGTAATGTACACATATGACATTTACTCTTACCCACCCCATTTAAAGAATATAATGAAATACTCGTTGTAAAATACCTCAATTTCTGTGCCTACTGGTGAATTCAATGTTAACTTAAAGGACATAATGTATATCTTGTTGTTTAAAATTCAAGTCTAATTAGAAGGGTGTGCCACCTAGTGGACAATTAAAAAGCACACACCCTAATCTATCTGAATTCACCTCCCACATAATAAATAGTTTCATGTCACAGTGATAATCTTTTAAAGTAGTCATTTGAAGAACTATCACTTACAAGCTCTTTTATACTCTCCAGCTAATAGTAATAATAAGTTGCTAGTAGAATTTTTGTCAAATATATGAACCGAGAGAAAGTCAAATCACCCAAAGAATTATTATCACATCCAAGACATTAAAATAGGAATTTTCTTATAACAGTGAAGTGCAAAACAGTTGAGCTTTGATTTTTCTACTGCTCAATATCAATCACTATATAAATTTAAATGTCCTAGATTATCAATGATTTGTTGTCTAGACCAAAAAGACCGTTGTCTAGCTCCTACATATAATGGCAAAACAGATACCCAGCTTGTTGCTTTTTTCTCTGGAAATTAGCATCATTCCAATGTATGGAGTTGTGGCTTGTTATTTTGAGTGTTTAAACCACTGAGGTCTAGGTTCTTAACCCCCCCACCCCACCTTCCACTTGGTCATATGCCAACAGTTGGTCCCCCATAAATATAGGTATGTAGTATAAATATGTGTAAGCATCTACTGAGGTGCAATTTCATAGGAGATTTCCGCACTTAACACACACACACACACAAACAGAATTAAAATCATCACATGGATTCTTATTATGTTTTCGCTTTCATAATACCAATATTTTTGAGAAAAGAACTCACCTTTTGTGTTTTTATGTTATTGATAAGTAAAATATCCAGTGTCTTTATTCCCTTGGAAATTGATTCTTGAAGGTTGCACAGTCCAACTCGATGTAAAAATGTCAATGAAAATTTGTTTGAATAGCTTGATCTTTTACATTTAAAATTCTAAAGACATTGTTATTCCATGGAGTATTTCTTGAAAAAGAATGTTTTTATGATAGTGAGAAAGACAAAATCATATATTTATTCTATTTCAAGTGTTTTCTCTCTTGTGTTGCTTACACAAAATTAAATCTCAACCAGGTAGCGTGTTTTCCGTCAGCCGTGAAACCACCGTCATCGATACTGTGGAATATTATCATTTCATTTTTACATTTACCAATTACATGTGAATATATACATGTTTTTAAATCCTCCCGCTTTTCATTATGTAGTGGTGGTGATGATGATTTAGTTGAGCAGTAAATGGGTAGAGAAGGTTCAATCTGTTGTTAAAATGTAATCATGCATCCTATAGCATTTAAGCCATTGTTGGTATCTGCTTTTTGGAATCGTTTCACCAACTGTTTATGTGTTGCATATATTTAACATTGAATTTTTATTTTGATACGTTACCTGTTCAAATTTATTTCTGATGTATGATAGGCTCTTCTGCTTTATAATTGTTGATTGTCCAATAAAAACACTCCCTCATCCATATATATTCTTTAAGTCTAGTGAAATATGATGAACTAGTCTTGATATTTGTCTTTAGTAATGAATCATTTTGTCAACGAAAAAAAACACATAACAGAATAGAGATTTGCAGCAAATTGGGAAAAATAAATTTTCCCATGAAAAAAAATATTTAGTAATGTAAAAGTCCCTCTGTGTGTGCGTGTGAGGGAGAGAGAGAGAGAGAGAGAGACTGGTTTTCGTTTGCATCCACATTGTTTTCCTTTTTGTGAACTGAATATACTTATTTCTGGATTTCATTGTCTCTCTCCTAGGCTATCGCATACTCTTTGTCTCTCTCTCTCTCTCTCTGGTCACAGTTTCTTTATTAGCCATTATCATTCATCATCACAAGTTTTTGAGTGTGCCTACCACACTATTTGCTTCCATGCTGCTGTATACACACTTGTGCTCTCCAGTTTTTTTTTCTCTTTCTGATTATTAGTCTTGCTTGAACACGCAAACATGCTTCGTTTTGATGATTACGTTTTATCAATCTGAACAATTTGGAGCATGTGCATGTATACCCCTTTTTCCTTTTGGAAAAAAAATATTTGTAAAATGGATGACTTAGTTGATTCGTGGTTTAATGTATACTCACTCATCTGACAAGTACGACTAGAGTTACGGATGGCTTATCTATCTGAATAATTTATCTCAGGTGGTCTGATTTACTGGGTGGTTTCATTCTCCGAGTGTTTTCCAGTTATTCACAACACCCACTTGTGATTTCATGCTGTTTGCAATGAGCGACATTTATTGTGTAGGGGTCAGTGATACTACCTGACTGTTCAAACCCCATAAGGTGAAGGGGGGGGTTCAAACTTGTATTCCCCTATAATTTTTTAGTATGATCAGGGTTCGAAGTTGACATAATTCCCATATTAATTTCAAAGGATATAGGGATGAAATTATCCTGTTACTTTCACCCTGCAAGATGACTCCGTTTTGCATCTACTTAAAGAAACCAAACTAGTGATACAAGCGCTGGTGAAATTAAAAGGATAACCATCATATAACCCTAAGGATATTCTGCCTTCTATATATATCCGTTTTGAAGCTTTTTGTTATGGATTGTCTAAATCTGACTGTGTGTATCAAAAGATACAGTAGAATAATAATTGACATGGGTCGTATAACGGAGACGAAGTCTTCCATCTCAGCTACTTACAGTCAGACTTAGCCATCTACAGTTTCACAATTACTTGTCTAGGTTGGATGTGTGTATGTTTTTCATGAGATTATAAATGTAACAGTTTTATTGGTCATACTATACCAGTCATAAATCTTTTTTGACAGGATAGCGTTGTACACTTTGTTTTTGTTTTCATTATGTAGTAGTAGGGCCTTGTCTAATGGATGCTTAGTCAAGCTTCATAAGATGTCAGTTATTGTACACTCTTAAAGAAATGAGGAGATCAGAACCTTTACTTAAATTAACCAAGTGCAATCAATAAGTATAAGGAAACTTAATCTACTCTTCTTCTATTCAAGTTCATCTTGGATATTAAATTATCTATAAGAGGCAAACAGCAGTGTAGAAATAACTTCTTTTAATGTTGACACTTCGTTAACCCACTTCATGATGTTGCGCGCATTTCTTAATGTTGGGCTGAGTTTTATTCAGTTTCTTTTGTTATTCTTGAGATAATGTCTAATTCAACGGATTCTATAGAGTGATATTACACTTCATCTTACCTTTTTTTCAGAATCGATAATCGGTACCAGCAACATGAGCCGACCGGATAATCGCAGACGTGGACAGAACACAAAGTCTGCTAAGGAACCAGTTTCCAAAAGATATAAACCAGATGTCTATCCATCAGAAGATGAAGACTCTACAATGTCAGGTTCTATGGATTTCGATCGTGAGTCTAATGAAAGTCTTTATGGTCGTAGGGGTGATGGTAAGATTGCAAAGAAATCTACCGCTACTACTGGCCACAGTGGTCACAAACTTCACTCGGATATTGACTATGATGCCACAAATGATGGTGAAGATGATGATGATGACGCTGATGTTGATGAATATGAATCGGATGAATTACGTGTTGTATCAAGAGCTCAAACAGTAAAAGCCCGTCACGAACACGGCACTTCAGTTAGCAAGTCTACTGATGCATCAGTTGTGTGCACACCAAAAGATGAATTCGGAGCTAAAGATATGCGAAATATATTGAAGTTACGCATAGACCATCCCTATCGTCCCTTGTGGATTGGTCCGCATGGGCACATATTTCTTGAAGCATTTAGTCCACTAGCTTGTCAAGCTCAAGATTTTTTAATTGCTATTTCCGAACCGGTGTGTCGACCACTACATATCCATGAATATAAACTCACCTCTTATTCATTGTATGCAGCTGTTTCAGTTGGTTTGCGCACAAGTGAAATAATTGGTTGTTTGCGTCGTTTATGTAAAACTGATCTACCAGAGGGCATTGTTGCCTATATTCGTAGTTGTACCCTGTCATATGGTTAGGCCAAACTAGTTTTAAAAGGTGGCCGTTATTTTGTTGAAAGTCCACATCGTCAGTTTCTACAACAGCTAGCGAACGACAAAACTGTACAACAGTGTTTAGTTAAGACAACAATTACTGAGGAAAGCGATGATCTGAAACAACCACAACAAGAAGTAGAAGTTGTGAAACTTTACAATGCTGCATCACTAGTAATACAACACCAGCCACAAGATGATAAAGGTGTTAAAACTGAAAAAGAAATTGCTATTGAAGACAAGATGATACGCCTTTACGCTCGTATAGATGCAGAAGAAGTAGCTAGGGAGTCACAGGGATCAAATACTGGCATTAATACAACTACTGCTGATAAATCAGACAATAACTTTTTGGAACAACCTAGTGATAACATAAATGTCAGTGCAATTGGCATTGAATCAGATGTTGGGGATCGTGAAGGTGAAATGATAGATATAAAAAATGACGGCAGTCGTGGTGATGCCAATGTTAAGTTCGTCTTAGACTCAACTGTCCCCAGTGATTCCAAAGTACCAGTTGTTCTTGCCTTAGAAGTCAATCAAGATCAAATTGAAGTACTTCAAAAAAGGTGTATTGAATTAGAGGTACCATTGTTGGCTGAATATGATTTTCGTCTTGATCGAGTGAACAAAGATATTTCAATAGATCTTAAAGCAAGCACAACACTCAGACCATATCAAGAAAAAAGTTTGCGTAAAATGTTTGGCAACGGTCGTGCACGTTCTGGCGTCATCGTATTGCCTTGTGGTGCTGGAAAAACACTGGTATGTGTTATTCCCCTTTTTGCGCTTTCGAATGATGAAATCATTTGTTGATAAGCTCGTTTCCAATAAAAATCACTGTTTATGTAACGGTCTTTACAATGGGAATAAAGTTTACAGTCATATGCTGATACTTTATGCGTAATGTATGATTATTTCAAGGGAAAAATTGTTCTGTTTTCAAATTAGATGAACATGCTTTAATCAAACACACAGTTGATATTCGTAATTACCTTGGAAACAAGGTACAAAGTGATTACTGTTTCGGGTGCTTCTTGGAAGTTGATTGTGTTTGCAACACTTAAATGTGTGTGTAAGATGTCTCTAAGTTGAACGGTTCTAACGATTCCATTGGTGCGATTTTACTTCCTGAGGTATTTTCCTATATTGTCCAGAATTCAACCCATTGCAGAGCGCCTAATAATTTCCATGTATTCTTATTAGATTATGTTTTGTACTATGTTGTTCTTTTTTATTCTTTGCAATCCAAATGGGGGCATAGGGCTTCAAACTCTGAAGTTTCATTAGCATATATATATATATATATATATATATGATATTATGAGCAATAAATTCTTCTCGAAACGTCATCAGTAAATAATACTGTACAACACTGCGAGATTTTATCAAAATAATATACTCCATGATGGAATTATACCCTACCACAGTGCCCAAGTTCTATTATATCAGTTTAATAAAAAAAGGCGAAAGAAATACTCAAGGGTGTGTGTTTATACTACTCATCGAGTTTATCATCTCCCACTATACACCTAATAACCTCGGCTGCACTATCTATGTGAATGTCACATAATTAACAGCTTTATCTCTATGCTAATCATATGGCCAGTGACACACATTTTGGGTGTCATTTAGTAGACAAAATATATGTGTTTGTACTCAATACAAAGGTAACCAACATGACTTGCAGCGAATCTGCTTAGATGCTTACTAGAGCTTGTATTTCTTCTTTACGCTCAGCGTGTGTGTGTGTGTGTCTGTGTGTTTATTTCCCTTAAGATAACCGTTCAACTACATGAGAATGACTGCAATACACCCTCATTGTATATTTGTCAATTTAACGGTGTTTTCCGCAACTGTTGGTTTGTGTGCTATCAAAATAATGTAAGAGCCTCGAAACATGTTTGTGTTACTTCAGGGATATAAGAGAAAGCAAAGTGCTCTTGACTCTGTACACATGAAGAATGACGAACGAAGCGAAACAGCAATCCGATTCACAACACGACTTAATTGCTAACATCAACATCCCCCTTCCAGCATAACTCTTTTCCTGACTGAAATAAGCAAAAAAAATTTCTACTCAGCTGTTTTCCAATGTTCATCCTGTTCACCTGAATATCTTAGAAGGTATTTTTCTCCCATATATTCACACTTCTAATCACTGTGAGTTAACAATATTACTTAAGATTTCATTTTAGTGAAACCGGAATCCATCTAATTAGGTTGATAATGATAATAATAACCTTCGAGGTGAGTAGAACATGATTTCCCAATATCTGCCTTCTTTTTCCACAATATTAACTAACATACAGTCGACGTACAATTACACGTTATTATTATCTTTGTTATTTGCGTTCATCTTCAACATTTCGTTGTGATTTTCACCCTTAGTGATGTATATTTCGAATAAAAACTCATCATTTCAACATATTTTCGCTGATCAGTCAATAGTTTTTGCCTGACTAGCAAGCATTAACAAAAGAACAAAAATTATATTGTAAGATGCAACCGGTGAATTTCACTGAAAGGGGGCACTTTTTACATATTCCTCGTTGTTAAATAATTATTTTCACTCTCAATATTTCATCCTTTTCACTAATGATAGTCTGACTGGGGAGTTATTCATATAAATAGGTTAATGGACGTCAAGCAGACTTCTAATGGCGATAATTACCCGTAAGCCAAAATAATTTTATTACTAGGACCTCTACTTTTGGTTTTATTTTGAAGGTAATTAGGTTAATTACTGAGTTAGTTTATTAATAATCTTCTTGGCTAACGTGTCTCTGTTCATCTAGATATTATTTGTCAGTCAAAGTATACACAAAATTATTACTTATCTGTTTATGCGAATTCTATTGATTTTGTTTAATCTAATATTAGGATTTTTGATTAATATACATTCAATGGTTTTTGCTAGAAGTAATAAACACTCACTGAAATGTTCATTCATGTTCTCTCCCTCGCTCTGAATTCCCCTCCTTCTCTCCCCATCTTTTGTTGTTTACCTGTTGTTCCGAATATTCATTCATTCATTCTCTGTATTCACTGAGTTTATTATGGTTATATATTATTATTATTATTCTGATATTTTGTTCAGCATAGTTTCATTCTACATTGTAATTCTTACTATTGTTATTGTTTTTTATCATCGTCATTGTTGTTGTTTTATTTGTTTGTTGTTAATCTCTTCATCTCTTTCCCTCTCTCTCTCTCTCCTTACCATTCAGCCTCTTTCTGTACCTTCTTCATTCACCTCCTCTCTAACTTAACTTTATTACTGATAAAAAAGGTTTTTAAAATAATAACAACAGCGGAGACAATTATAACTCTGAATAATTGTGTAAACAAATCAATAGGTTATAATGTTATTTTTATTACTGTCATAATTGTGAAAGGATGTTTACACGGATAGGAAAACACACTCGTGCATAAATAAAAAGTTTTACTAGATTTTTACCCATTAATAAAGATAATTACCATAATGGTAATTATTTCGAGAGAACTTACTAGTTGACATCATGTCAATTATACATGTATGTATATATATTGACCACCCAGTGAGAATAGTAATCATAATCGTTATGCATGAAATTAAATGTAGCTTAATGGTTAGAACTCATAACTTTTTTTATCAAAAAGTTAAATAATTTGAATGGTGGATTTCGCGAGGCAGTCAGAATTGCAGAGTTATGCCTTGAACACTTTTCACAAATTTACGGTGGTCAACTTTTGACTTCTTGCTGAACATTGTCTTACACAAAATGATTCATGACTTGGTATGTTGTGTATCTTATTTCACTAGGATAAGATGTAGAATAAATGCGATTGCAAAGATTTATGTATAGCACCGCATTGTCTATTTTTTCCAGTTCACCTAGATCACTTGTAGTGTTTAGTTCATTGGCTTACACTTCCGACTTACAATCAATAGGCCGTGGGTTCGAGTCCCACTCCATCTACTTCAGCCTGGGCGATGGGTAGTATCGCTAACCCTCAAAAGATAAGTTTGCCTTGTAGCTCAGTACTGAGTGAGTCGTAACTAACTGACCAACCGATTACTAGTATGTATCCTAGAGGAAAACACTTCCCTGACATATCAGAATTGTGATCAGGTTCAATGAATTAATCAAGAAAGTGTAATCTCAGACTTGATTTCAAGTATTTGAGCAGAGTAATTCCCTACGTAATTTTTACAAATGTATGTGTATGTCGTAAAACGGAATCTTAAAAATTTCAAGTTCATTCCCCTCACCTAATCTGGGAGTTGCGCTAGAATTCACTGGCCTAATTATATGCCTTTGGTATTTAATCACTAAAAAGGTTCCAGATCGAATACAAAATTATGATTGTTGTGTGATTTCGGTTAGCAGATGTTTCGAAATCAGTGCGATACAGAAATTTAGTGGTTTCATTCCGAATGCATATATATATATATACATTTAACCCACTGTCCTTTTCGGTCTGTTTTGGTGGTTATATAAGTTTATGTTAGACTTATATCTTGGTTTCTTTTTCCCATTGGTTGTAAAATTTCGTTATTACAGTTTTATTTGTTTTGATGGCTGAATGAAGTATGTTGACCGATTTGTATGAAAAATGAAATGACGATAGTTCACATACATACGTATGCTTTCGTGTGGGAATTTCTGAACGTATTCTCATACCAAATAAGCTACTATTCATTGACACATTTTTGGGTAAACAGATTGTCCTTATTAAATAGTATGTAACTTGATGTAAAGTTATTTGGATTTCTGTAAAAATTTATTACACATTGAATAGAAATGTTGGCTTTATAAGTTACACTACTGATGAGGACTCGTGATAGGTATTGGTGATTGACTGTCAGCTGACGATTAGTGAGTTCAACACCATCTACCGAGGTCAGAAAGCATCACCAATCAATCTTTATACAAAAGATAAGAATCTTTGTCTATGCACATGAACACTGAGTAGCCTAATACACTAAACAATATCAAACATAATTTTAATTGAAAGGTAAAGTCATTATCAAGGAACATTTCCAATTCTGTACCGCTTGGTTAAATATACGGGAATTTTCAGCTGGTTCATCCTATCAGACTCATTTAAGGATATCTATTAATAGTTCTATTTCTTGTTGATATGTTCTACTCTTGTGTTTTGTTTTAACTTCTCATCTTTATACTATGAAGGTGTTAATTGTCAGGTTGCTTGTTACGTGTGAATAACTTTCGCATCCAAACATAGGGAAAGTCATTTCCATTGTTATAAATAAATATGAACATGTGTTTCTTTTCAACATTTCTCCTTTAATGATTATCTGGCAAAGTTGTAATTTTTTTCATGTGAGTTAAGAAAATAACAAATTAGCGGAAAATTAGTTCTCGTTTTATATAGCAAATTACTATAATTACTATAATTATCTCCATTGTTATTTCGAGCGGCTTAACTCCTCTATGGTTACTGGAACATTCATATTGCTTTTGACTACAGTAACCTTTCCCACCTTAATAATTTATCTCTACCTGTTTATCACTCAGATAAGTTTAAAAATAATCATCCAAGAGAACGATGGGAGTAAACTGGGTTAATTTAGGTGTAAAAAGTGTAAAAATGTTCAACGGGATATTTTTCTTTAATATTTTGCATGAATAACTCCGAATTTCTCAAAGGAGTGTCTGTACATCCGAATGTGACTGCCTTTTCTACTATAAGGCGTTGGGGTTACGGTTAGCAATTATTAGCACTTATCTGAATCATATAGTTCTCCTAAATCTTGAGCAACGTTCATTATTCAATTTAAAAAAACTTCATTCATCGTTCTAACTTCATTACTAACCATCACTTTGATTGACCACTTCAAAGTTCGTTTGTGCGCTTGGATCACCATATTCCAACTTCGCCTATCACTGTTGTTTCTGTTTTAAGACTAAATGCATTTAGAGATTGAATGACTAATACTTGCTTGAAAATATTTTCCAGGTTGGTGTTACAGCTGCTTGTACAATAAGAAAGCCAACATTTGTTCTATGCACTAGTGGTGTTGCTGTTGAACAATGGCGCTCACAATTCAAATTATGGTCTACTATTGAAGACGGCCAAATACTTCGTTTCACTAGTGATGCAAAAGATCGTCCAAATCAAAGTTCACATATATGCATTAGTACGTACAGTATGATTGCACATTCAGCGAAACGTTCCTATGAAGCTGATCGAATGATGACTTGGATTAAAGGCCAAGAGTGGGGTCTTATGATTCTAGACGAAGTAAGTGTGTAATTTATTCAACTAGATAACAATTTAACTTTAAGTCGTGTGGTTTTTCAATGATAGAGAGTGTTGTAGTATTACAGCATAAAATGAAGTCTCATTAGCAGCAAACTGATTTTGTTAACGCCAGAAAACACTTAACTTTCTTTCATTTTAGGAAGGCGATTTCGAGTCATTGAAATATGACGAATTATGATATAGAACGTTCGACTAATCTTACTTGGAGTTATTGACTCATGATGTCAACGAAACATACACCACGTCTAACAACGAATTCTCCAATGCATCACGTTTTTCATCTCAATGCAGACTATCAGAAATACCAAACATTAGTTCACTAGCATATTAGAAGTAACTTTATTGTATCGTGAAAGAATACTGAGTAGACTATTCTTGTGGTATGTTGCGACGGTGGCAATCTAGAATCTATATAACTGAGCGGTGCATAGACCCTACAGTCTACTTATTGAATATGTGCGCTAGAATATAAATGGTTTCATCTAGCCCAAATATTCGTCTTGACATTAAAATATCAGTTCACACAATATAATATCAGCAATTCTTCTTTGTGATTTTCTTTTTGCCTAATTTTCGTATACTTTTTGTTTCTTTATGTTAGCTTGATGTGGTATATACATATTTGTAGAGGCTAGACACTTTAATTCTGAGTCTCTGCGGCAAATGAGTATCTAGCGTTGAATGCGTATAGTAATAGTAACAGTTTTTGTCAAGCTTCTTATTTTCATTTGAATAAGGCAGTGATAGGCGTGATTTTCTAGTCCAAGTATACTATGCATTCGGTAGTTCTCTTCATTAAAAATTCTTCACATACATTAATTGATGTGTATTGTTGTCCTCCCCCACCTCCTCTTATTTTTTATTTTCTGAAGGAAGCGCACATGATGTTTTTCTTTTCCTCATCTGAAGCATTTATATCACTATCGATTAACTCCCATTAGCGTTTTATTACTAATTTACATCTGGATGCATCTTCTTTATCTAACTATTTATTCATTCATTCAGGCACAATTTCTTGTTCACATTTGTGTACAGTTTCTATTTGTGCATTACAGAGAAGGATTTCCTTCTGCCGGAAATCTTATTTTCTAAAAATATTTCTATCAAGCTTAATTAGATTATATGCTGTTCAGTATAGGTTTATTTCCTCTGAGAAAGACAAAAAGAGAACCTTATTGATAAATTTTGTTCTTTTATGTTCTTTTTTGCCGCATATCTTCTCTCCTGACAAGCTTGACTAGCTTGTTAACTAAGATAATTGGTGTGAATCAGTGTGTAGACTGTAACAAGTCCATTGTAGTTGAAGTGTTACGGGACTGGATTACGTGTATGATTAATATCAAAGGTCGTGTAACTACAGCTTCTTTTGTCACTCATCATATTCTTAAGCGTTAGTTTTTAGGGATTTGATTAGTTTCAAGTCTGAACACGAACTGATATCAGAGATAGAGGACTATTTAAAGCCAAGGATTATTGGACAGCTGTTTCACCCTACCTTGTGATTCATCAGTAGTGTGCACCCATCTTCGCCTCATGGGGGATTGAATCCAGGAATTTCATGAATAAAGGGTTCCGGTTTTCAGTGGTTCTTTAACCTGAAACAAATATGACAGATAGATTTTCATTTAAATTTTTTTCCTTTAACAACGACATTAATCACCTATTCAGTAACGAATTCGAGTATTTTGTATACTTTTTCAATCTAAAAAGAACAGCAAGTAGTAAACTTCATTATAGATAAGATTTTATTTTGATAAATCACACAGTGTTATACAGTAATATTAACTGATGACGTTTCGAGCACAAACTATTACTCATAATCATATCGAGGAAGCAGTTGTGTGAGTAACTTGATATGATTATGAGCGGCAATAAATTGTGCTCGAAACGTCATCAGTTAATATTACTGTACAACACTGTATGATTTTATCAAAATAAAATTTTTTCCATAATGGAGTTATACTCTACCACAGTGCCCAAGTTTTGATACTTATAACAGTAGTAAACATTTGTAGATTCCCCAAAGTACATTTTATCCATTAATATTAGGCGTTTGAGTTAACTTCATTGGCACAATGCATATTCAATTTTTTCAAAAAGCTCTGCGGTTGAACAATCGTCGTTAGAAATAATGAAGGTGTCATCAATTTATCGCTTATACCTATATCATGTGTCTGAGATATAATATCTTCAAACTGCACCTTTGTATCTAATTCGTCAACTCTGAATGAAATAGTACAGAACTTAAGACCAAGAGATAGGATTTGCATCTGAGTGTCAGACAGAGTTATACTGCAATAAATCTATGTAAACATAGTCTTTCGGACACTTTTGACTTCATCAGCTGCGTTGATGGAATTAATGTGACCAGTAAGCATATGATCTCATTAGATGTTTGCTCTTTATTTATAAATGTACCGTTAGTAGAAACTATTTGTTATCAATGTGATTATATTGATCTAAAATGTATAAACATTGGAGTACCAACTAAATATCTGAAGCAGCTTTTACTGAGATGCACGCTTAATGTGCAGTTTAGATTTAACGATGTCATTTATAATCAAAGAGATAGAGTCGTCATGGCGTCTCCATTAAGACACTTCCTATCGGATGTCTTCATAACGAGCTTGGAGAGTGGTCCATTGAAAGAAGCAATCTCGAGTTTGTATATGTATAAGCAGTATATTGATGACGCCTTCATTATTTGTAACGATAATTGTTCAACCACCAAGCTTTTCGAAAAATTTAATGGTTCTCACCTATCGATGCTTTTCACTATCGAAGAGGAATCGAATTCCGCATTTTCACAGTGAATATTGTCTATGATTCAATTAGAAAAATGATTGCATTGTTATCAAAATGTTTGAATCCTGGAATGAACAGAAAATTCATTGTATTTAAGGTGTATTGGTGAAATCAGAATGTGGCACTGCGTTACTCAGTTTGTTTTACTTGCATTAAGAACACGAGTATAGGTATTCATTGAAAGCCTGTTATATATATGTATATGATAAAACGGTTGTTGGATGTCAAGGTCCCATACAAGCCTAATGCGTATGCTTATTATCTTCTCAGCATAAAACACTTATCGTAAAGTTGATGTAGCTTTTCTTGATACTTGGTTACTTGAAGTGTAATTTGGTGTGTATATATTTCGAACTACACTTCCCACCCGCATATTAAAAATCCATGTTTAAGATTCCAACTATTAGAATTGGCATGACACATGGCTAATTGAAATAAAATATGGTTGAATTTAACGCAGGTCATAAATTTATAGCCGTCAGTCTGATTACCAGTATCTATATGTATGTATTATAATCGATTAGTTTCATATATATCACATCATTACTAATACTACTACTATACTACTACTTGTTCAAGTCCACTGCACATGATTCAGAAAGAGGAAATAGAATAATAAAGACACAAATTCCTACATGAAGCTTAGCTATCAAGTTAAATTTCCCTATCTAATGACGTAAACTAAAAGACGGAATATTTGAAAAACTGTATTGTCTGGCTTTTCAACTCATGACTTTTTGTGACGTTCAGTTTTTTTTTTGCGGATATATTGTCTCCATTACTAGGGTATGGATACAGTGTGTAATTCAATTCTTACTATTATCATTATTGTTATTATTATTTTTTAGTATAGGATGAATGTATTTGTCACCTTTAGTCTACAACTGAATAAAGGAAATAATGTTGGGACTTAAGTTTTCTAAATATCTGACCAGTCTGTTACTGAGTGCTAAAATAAATTATGAATAGCTTAAATGTATCGTCAAATTTCCCCAACAGTGGAGTGCACTTGTTCAAAGTCTTTGAGTGTAGATTTTTGTCTTTTTGTAAACTCATAAACTGTAGATGCACTTCCTTCAACTTAGATTAGGGGTTTGAATTCTGTATATGGGTCTATCACAGTATGAATAAGTGTGATGATTATGTGTTTATGTTAGGTTAACTTTTGGCTTGCATGAAATGTTAAATTGCTTTTTTCATTCAAACCATGCATACCTAGTCATTGCCTTTCTCGACTAGCAATGTTAGCTGATATAGAATTAGATTTAAAGAAGAGTTAGCAGTGGTTGGACCTTAACCAGTCATTAATCCATCAAGTTTCTGACAGTTGGTTTGAACCAAGTAGTAAGATGTAGACTGCCTGGTCACGGTCCTCGAGATTCCAAGAACCAATGACTGGAGACAATTGGTGATGTGGTTGGCTCTAAGTCATCCTTAGTGGTGGACCAGATGCATTCACTCTTTGTAATCTCTCAGATCTAATAAATCCTTCTATTGTTTCCATGCTGATATTCTTTCCTCTGCATATTTCTGCTCATTGTTGTTCTCTCTACTTTTGTGTGCTATATAGAGTGTGACAGCTTAAACTGGTGTTGACAAACAATTTATCTCCTCATCATTGTCTAGTGAGACTGTTTTCCAGTTAGCTAATCACGATTTTGTGCTTTCCACATAGATCTATAGTATACGAATAAGTCACTTTCACCCGCCGAGCTGGAGTTAATCAAGCCTTAACACACATACCACCTGAGTTAGGATTGTTCACTTACTTCTTATTGATTATCTAAACTGTTATATCATTCTCTTAAATTTTATATATATACAAACAGTTGAGGCCTTCACTTCAAGCAACACAAAGTGAGTTGAGTTTATTCGACATTCTTTTAAAAAAAATTCATTGTTACAATGAAATTTCACTTCAGTTGGTTTAGTTGAAAGTGTATTCTAATTGTCTTAGTTCATTTAAAAAAATTATTTCTTCGAAGAAAAAGTGAAAAAAATATGCCAGTAGCACCAGCAACAACAACAACAACAAATAATCCACTTTCATTTCTCATATGCTGTATTCTATTTTTTACTTGAAAAATTTCTTTGTGAATTGCATGATTATAGCTCAAAATGGGTACTTTGTCTACTCATCTCTTCTTCTTCTTCTTCTTCTTCTTCCATTTCTG